AAAAAAAAAAAAAAAGGAATGATTAACAAATTATGGAACATGGAGGAAAAAATATTAAATCAACATTAAGCTTAAAAGATATATGCAGACGTCTTTGAGGTAAAAACTCCTAGTATCTGGGCATTTCTCGCTTATGGGTAGTTTCTCTGGTAAGAATCCGTTTCTTATGTTTGTGAAAGTCTTCATAGCAGGGGTGGAAGGAGGTCTAGGAACAATTTCTTTGCTAACAAGTTCAAGGAAAAGAATAGCTATCAGTGGGAAAGATGATTAATTCACTCATTTGCTACAGAGCCCAGGGCATCAAGAGGTGGGGCAGAGCAGGTAGAGATGAAATATTGTTCATCACGTCCAATGTGTTCTCCTTTCTTCAACCTGGATATTTATCCCCTTAAAAGAAGTGGGAATCTAGTTTTCCAACTTAGCTAAGGGAATTGTTCTGGTCTGTTCTTAACTCTAACCATTCTTGATAACCTTATTTCTATTAGAAAAAGCCCCTTGGATTCCAGAGAATCATTTTGCAAATAAACTTCAGAAATACAACAGGTTGTTTTTATTATTTATTTATTTATAAAATGTTTGTTTATTCATTTTTGAGAAAGAGAGCGAGCACACGTGTGTGCACAAGCAGGAGAGGGTGAGGGGCAGAGAGAGAGGGAGACAGAAAATCCCAAGCTGGCTCATGCTGTCAGCACAGAGCTCAATGCAGGGCTCAAACCCACAAGCTGTGAGATCATGACCTGAGCTGAAATCAAGAGTCATTGGATGCTTAACTGACTACGCCACCCAGGCGCCCCTGATTGTTTTTAGTTGGCATCTTTAATTAAAATTCTGTTATACTTAGCACTTGACTAAAGATAGATACTAAGTGTATTTTGGTTGTCCAGAATCTTATGAGATGACTTTTTTCTTGTCTCCATTTTAAATACCTCTCCGAATAATAAAAGGAGACTTTCTCCCATTATAAAAAAATAAAAATAAATCAAAACCAGCCATTTTCTTGGTGCTTGCCATGATACACTGTATGGTTGACACTGTGGAGGCCTATGGAAAGGTTTATACTCTAGTCCTTTTCCTTAAGCTGCTTGCATTTCGAAGTGTGGTTTCACCTACATACTGCTGTCCCCTTCTTTACTACATTCCTACTTAGCCCCAATTGTTACTTATTACGTTATGAAGTACACAATCACCTACCACTTATCTGTCCTTTTTGTCATTGCCCAGCACCTAACTTCATTAGATTTGTACTACAATCGTGTTATTTTTAAAAATAATTTTTCAAGAGATCTTTCCAATTTAAAAGTGTATATATTGTTAAGAAGTCAATTTTAAAATGGAAAAAATAGCACATTAAAAAGATTAATTTCAAATTAAGCATTAAAACTATTTTGGTTTGTGGGTAGCAGACAGACCTCTGGATCAGAACGCCAAGATATGATTGTACCTGGATCTAAATCAAGTAGAAATGATTCCAGTGAATTGAGAAATTTAAAGGTATTTTATTTTTTAAATCTTTATATGGAGCAAGGTTTCCTGATCTAGGATCCATGGAGTTTTTCCCGGGGAAGGGGTCCAACAGTGTTCCTGAAGCCCCAAGAGATACAGGACCACTAGTGGGAAGTGGTACAGAAGTCCTAAACTGTTCCTCCAAAGTTGACGAACATGTACATTTCATGTAGAGAAATGATCAATGATCTCCTGGGATAACTTTGACATAATACTTATCATGCTTATATTTAAACAGATTAGTTGGGTTTGGGAATAGCTAGGGGAGTCATTCCCCCCAAATTCTGTTTCTTGGTTGGTGTGTTTAATCATATGTTCTGACAGGACATCTTATATAGCAATGAGAGTAAATTGTGATGTGTCTTTGTAAATGCAAAGACTGGAAACAGTTTTAGTCTCATACTGTTCTTATTGTACTTGAGTTCAACCCCTGGCCTCACAATGTGGGTCTTTTCAAGTTTATATTTTTTGTAATTCATCTTTTTCATGGTCTATGCTTATTATTTTAACTGATCATAGCTACCTTAGAGACTAGTGCATAGTTGTTTAAAAAGTTTACTTTTTGGATTTTAGAATAACTACTGTTTTAGACTTATGCAAATCTTAATTTTCACTAATGTTATTTTGGGGATAAAATACCATCATAGTCACAAAATAATGAGGCATGTCTTATGTTATATTCAAATTTTCAACCTCTCTTTTTAAGTGATTATATTTTATGAGTTGATTATGTCCATTGAAAGCACATTGGCCAAATTTATGGTTATGGCCAGTTCCACTGTTCTAGTCAATAATTCAAGAAGTTAATCTTTCCTCAGTTTGTGAGTCTATATCTGATTATAGTAGATAATTTTCTTAGCAATCTTTTCACATAGATGAGACTTTAGTCTATTGAACACTAAGACAAATTAGTACTATTACTGTTTATGAGACTTTATTATTTTTATGTCTTATTCTTTTCATGTAGTCTATTCAAAATATCCATTCCAAGGAACCTCTGATGTCGGATGAGAAGAGTTCTGAACTTATTACAGATTCAGTAACCTTGAAGAATAAAACTGAATCAAGTCTTGTATCAAAATTAGAAGGTAAGAGAGACAAAATAGGCTTTTATTAATTAAGAATAGCACTCTGGTGCTTGTGAAAGTTGACCAGCCATCTACAAATTACAATGTAAGACTATATGTCCCTTTATCTTGTATGTCAATTGAATTATATAGAGTCTATGAAAAGTGTTGAATTCTGTAGCAGTGGAAGTTTATTTGGCTAAAAGCTGTGTAAAAGCAAGAGTGGAGGGAAAGTACATTGGGGCTGAGCTAGGTTTTTCAGTTGGCTTGACAAATACTTTTCTGGAAAAAAACACAAGCTGTATCTTTATGATAATTCTCTTTTTTATTGGACATTTGATTTTCTACTATATGAGTAGTATGATATGTTCTAAGGGGATATAAATGAATGAAACAGTCCCAAGGAGATTGCCATCCATTGTGAGAGACAGACTGATAAATATAATGCTGTGTAGAATTTTAGAGGGTATATTGAGAAGCACATAAATAAAATGCTGTGAGAATTCAGAAGAAGGAGAAATGTGAGGAACTATTTGGTTTAGGATAAGAACATGTTTTATGGAGAAGAAAGGTGAAGAACTATTTGGGTTTAAATAGGAAGAAATGGCAGTGATAGAGTATTTCAAATGGAGGAAATAATGAAAACAAAAGAATAAAATATTTTAGGAACAAAAGATAGTCTATGCAGAAAACTATAACAGGTCATACAGAAGTAGAAGGTAAAACTAGGTAAACTGAACTCCACGCTTACATTTTTTTTTTTTGTAGATATCAGAGTACCATTAGAGATTTTTGAACAAGATCATGAATTGGATGATCCTTGTCCAAACAAAGTTTACCAGATTGACTAATGTTTTTCTTTAATTGGACTGAAGAGGAAAACTGGGACATACTAGGCTTGTTGAGACTCTTTGGTTTCCAGACTGGAACTTCCCTGGTGTTAGCCCTGAAAAGTTCTATATATAGCAGAATGACTGTCAGTTCCCAGCAAACTGAGACTGTTATTCACCCTAGAATGGTCTATTTGCCATTATTTTGATTTGGAATAGATTCCTTTTCCTAGTATTTGAAGGATATTTTCATGGCATCTATCATAAACTGGTATTACTGAAAAATCATGTTTACCAAATATGCTTGTTAATAATACTAATCTTATACCTAATTTAATGTTTTTCAGTAAATACTTGTTGAGTACCTATACAGTGCCAGTAATACTTTATTATATAGTAAAACTGCCAATTACAAAATCACCCAAATCATGAGAGTACAGTCTGTTGAAATATCATTCCATTCATATGCATTTCTTTTGAGTGTATCCAAAGAGTGGGGTTGTAGGGTCACAGAATGTGTGTATGTTCAACTTTGGCAAATAGTGCCAGTTTTCTAGAATGGTGGTCCCTTTGACCAGCAGGGATGTTGCTCTTGCTCCATATTAGTCCCAATTGTTTTATTGTTGGTTTTTAATTTTACACATTTGGATGCTGCTAAGTGATATCTTACTGTGGTTTTAATTTGCGCTTCTCTGATGGCTTATGATGTTGAACATCTTTTTTTATGTTTATTGGCCATTTGGATATTCTCTTGTGAAGTACTTGTTTGAAACTCTTGCCAATTTTTCTATTGGGTTTTCTTTCTTTTTCTCATTGATTTCTAGGAGATATTTATATCATCTAGATACATATCCTTTGTTGGATATGTGTGTTACAAGTAATTTCTCCATTATGTACTGAAGACTTTTTAGGAAAAGAAATTCTTAATTATTATGCATTTTAATTTATCAGTCTTTTCCTTTGTGGTATTTCCTATGTCTTTTAACAAATCTATGCCTGCTCCAAGATTGTAATGATATTTCTGCATATTTTAGATGATTTATCATTTTGCCTTTCACATATGGACTTACATTCTAACTGAATTTAATATTTGTGTATAAGTAAGATGACGTATCAAGATTCTGTTGTTTTTTTCCCTCATGTGGATATCCAGTGGGTCCAGCATCATTTATTGAAAAGACCCTCTTTTCCCGTCAGTGAATTATAATGTTTATTTATTTATTTTTGAGAGAGAGACAGAGAGTGAGCAAGGGAGGGGCAGAGTGAGCTGGAGACAGAATCCTGAGCAGGCTCCACGTTGTCAGCACAGAGCCTGACGTAGGACTCAAAACTCATGAACCATGAGATCATAACCTGATCCAAAAGAGTCTGATGCTTAACTGACTGAGCCACCCAGGCGCCCCTCCCTTAGTGAATTATAAATTAGATATCCTGTGATATCTGGTTTTGGATTCTTCTCTGTTCCATAGATCTTTGTGCCAATACTATCTTATTTACTGCAATCAATTGAAAATCTTCCAACTTCATTCATCTTCAAGGCTGTATCAGCTATTGGGCCTTTTGGGTTTCCATATAAATATTAGAATCTACCAGATTCTTTTTTTAAAATGGGATTTTTTTATTGAGATCCTAATGGGACAGGTTGGCATTTAGCAGATAGGTTTTCTAATCCACTAATCTGGCATATATCCCTTCATTCATTTAAGTAGTATTTAAGATGTTATCGAGAACTATTTTCTGTTAGAGGTTTTTCTTCTCTTTTGCTAGAGTTCTTGCTAGATACCTGGCATTTTCAATGCTGTGATGGTGAATGGAATATTTTTAAACTATTTTTTCATCTTCTACCTTGTTGCTGGTATATAAAAATACAACTGGTTTTAGCTATTGATCTTAGATATAGTCAGTGAGTTACTAAATTCACGGAATAATTCTAATATTTTTCTATGAATTCTTTCATAGAAAGAAAATGATTTAACATTTTTTCCTTATCCTTTTAACCTTCATTTTTTTCTTTGTATTACATGTAACATCATAATGAATAGAAGAGATGATAGGTGGGCAATCTTATTACTTATTTTAGAGGGAAGCTTTCCATATTTTACCTTTGTATGAAATAATTGCTGTAGATTTTTTATCTACTCTTAATCAAATACCAAAACAGTGAATTTTGCTTTATACCTAGATTATCATTAGATATTTTTTGTGACTGTTGAATCTTGTCAAATGCTTTTTCTGCATTTATTGAGTTGATCATGTATTTTTCTTCTTAGTCCTGTGATTATGGCAAATTAAATTGATTTTCACATGTTAAGCAAACTTCACATTTAAGAATAAACATAACTTAGTCATAATTCATTATCCCTTTTATCTATCCGTTGTACATACTTGTTTAGGATTTTTGCACTATGGTGATAGTGAATATTGATATTCATAGGATAGTAACTATAGTGTTGAGACTTTTTTGTTGGGAGACCATTAAGAAAATAAATTACAGGCTAGTTTAATGTAAAATTTTTGTTAAAAAACTAAAGATCTATGGATACCTTGATGGCTCAATTGGTTAAGCATCTGACTTTGGCTCAGGTTGTGATCTTGCGGTCCGTGAGTTTGAGCCCCACGTCGGGCTCTGTGCTGACAGCTCAGAGCCTGGAACCTGCTTCAGATTCTGTGTCTCCCTGTCTCTCAGCCCCTCCTCTGCTCATGCTCTGTCTCTGTCTCTCAAAAATGAATAAACATTAACAAAAAATTAAAATACTAGAGGTCTATGTAAAGTGGTAAATTAGCTTCTCTTTATTAGTAAGACCTTATGATATATATGTGTTTTTGAATTTTTATTTATTTATTTGGTGTTTTCTGGTGAAGACCCAGAAGTATTTAAATTCAGAATGGTCTCTGATAAAGCTCTAGGTAGCAACTTAGGAACATGACTGTGTTATACCTTAGTAAAATGACTTATTAAAAGCCAGTTGTCAGCAGCTGGCTTAATGTTTTTAGTTTCTTTCTTTGTTTTTTGTTTTTGTTTTTTTCCTAATTTTTTTTTTTTTTTTAACGTTTATTATTGAGAGACAGAGAGACACAAAGCGTGAGCAGGGGAGGGGTAGAGAGAGGAGGAGACACAGTATCTGAAGCAGGCTCCAGGCTCTGAGCTGTCAGCACAGAGCCTGATATGGGGCTCGAACTCACAAACTGCTAGATCGTGACCTGAGCCTAAGTCGGTCACCTAACCAACTGAGCAACCAAAGCACTCCTTCTCTCTTTGTACTAATATAGTTTGTAACATGTTTCGTATTTCAGATTTAATTTTATTATCAAATATTCTTTCCTTTTGTTGATAACAACAACAAATGCAATTTCAGAGATTAAGGAACATCAAGAACCAAAGGTTCCAGAGAGTAACCAGAAACAATGGCAGTCTAAGAGAAAGTCAGAATGTATAAACCAGAATCCTGCTGTATCTTCAAATCAGTGGCAGATTCCAGACACGGCCCAAAAAGTTGATACAGAGGTAACTTTCTTTTCCTCTAAAGTGTAACATTGCCATTATTTGTAATGTGATGGTCATGTTAAATTTTTTTCTTTTATTAAATCCTTATGTACCATTTTTAGTGGAATAGTTTACTTAAAGGATGTTTCTTATTATTCACAAAACAATGATCACTACTAGTGACAGATTCAGTAAAAGTATATGTCAAGCTGAAGTTTTTTTTTTATTTTCAGTGGTGCTTTTGGATTTCTGGTAGACTGGTGCAGGGGTCAGCAAACTACAGCCTATCGGTCAAATCTAGTTCTCAGCCTATCTGTAAAGTATGTTTTACTGGAAGACAACCATCCCCATTTATTACTGTCTAGGGCTGCTTTTGAACTGTAACAGCAGAATTGAGTAGTTGCAACAGAGACTCTGCCTAAAAAGCCCCATATGTTTACTACCTTGCCCTTTACAGAATACAATATGCTGACCCCTGAACCAGTGCAATGCTGTACCAAAAGATTTGATAATTTCCTATTATCCCATGGATAAAATAGAAAAATATAGACTAGACACTGTATGTGAATTTATAACAGGTTGAATGATCATTCCCAATGGTCAAAGGTCATTTCAGAAGGAATGATCTGGTTGGCTACTAGAGAGTCATACTGTATATAGTCCATGGCTATACTGTCCTCACTACTTTCAGTTATATTCTAACTCAGTGGGTTCTCACATGTTTTTGTGTTGGGATCCTCTTTACACTCTTCATTATCAAGACCACGAAAGAGCTTTGTTTATGTAAGTTATATTTATCTGTATTTACTGTATTAGAAAGTAAAACAGACATTTTAAAAATATTTATTAACTTACTAAAAATAACAATAATAAATTATCACATGTGAATATAGATATTTTATGAAAAATAAGTATTTTTGTGTTTTATTGAGGTGTAATTGACATATAACATCAGTTTCAGGTGTACAATCTAACTCAATATTTGAATTATGAAGTGATCACCATAATAAGTTCAATTAACATCTGTACCCATACAGCTACACAATTTTTTTTCTTATGGTGAAACTTATAAGATTTACTCTCTTAGCAATTTTCAAATATGCATATAGTATTAATAAATATAGCCACCATGCTACACATGCATCCTCATAACTTATTTTGTAACTGGAAATACCTTTGTATGTCTTTATTTAATGTTTATTTATATTAGAGAGAGAGAGAGAGGCACACAGAATCTGAAGCAGGCTCCAGGCTGTGAGCTGTCAGCACAGAGCCTGCCATGGGGCTCAAACTCATGGACCGCCAGATCATGACCTGAGCCAAAGTCAGATGCTTAACAGACTGAGCCACCCTGGTACCCTATCTTTGTATCTTTTGATCCCTTTCACCAGTTTCGTCCACCACCCATCCCCACCGCTGTCAACCATTAATTTGCCCTCTGAATCTATGAAGTCGTTTTTTTGTTTGTTTGTTT